ATGCCCCGGTATCAATTATCCAGTCATCTTTCATACGATAACAGTGAGATTTACCGGTATTTGTGGACGTGTGGGCAGCCATGGGAGTTGTGGTTTGAGACTTCCCTTCTTCAACTATTGATGATGTAGCTACAGATGCCTGTACAACTTTTCTTCTTGGCTTCTTTGTGAAATCCCACCATTCAGGGTAGCCAATGAGCTCATAGCATTTGGCCTTTGAATGCCCCTCTTCTCCACAGTGTGTACAAGTAAAGGTATTACCTTTTCCATTCGAGTTCTTTCCTTTGAAGGGTCGATTACGAATAGTCAGGTTCACTACGCTATCTGCTTCGACTTTGGGCTCTTCCATGGTTAGTCTTTGATTGTGGTCTTTTCGGATGTAGGCATAACATGCCTCCAAGCTTAGAGGTGGATCCTTCCTTAAAACCTCACTCATGGCTTGAGTAAACTCTGAATCCAACCCAGCTAGGAAGATGTGTACACGAAATCGAGATAAGGTTTTGTTTGCTGCCACCGTTTCTATGACAGTCTCCTCCTGTACAGTTAGACGAGTGTCAATATCTTGAAACAGGCTTACCAGTTCATTATAGTATGTTGGCAAGGATCTTCCATTTTTGGCGAGTACTAAACGTCTTTCTATTCAATTCGAAAAGTTGAGTTTCATCGGTTCCATCATAGAATGTTTGGGCTACCGCCTCCCAGATCTCGGCTGCAGTGGAAAGACAGATGAATCGACGGATGATGGATGGGCTCATTGAGTCGATCAACCAACTCTTGACTCTGTTATTATCGATCAGCTAAGCTTCGATCTGTTTTTCGTCTCCAGTAGGTTTCTCAGTTTTCCCTGTGATATACCCTGATTTGTTTTTCGCTCCAATCCTCATCTCCATCAATTGAGACCAAAGAGGGTAATTCGTGTCATCTAAGATGACTCCGGTGGGAAAAGGTGCATCTTGCACGTTTTGTACGATTACTTGAGATGTGCCAGACGGACCTCCTTTATCACCCATTACAGCGGTTCGATTTCAGAACTTTTCCCCCTTTTTTTTTGTTGGTACGCTCTGATACCATGTACAATTAAGAGGCTGAGTTTTTACGAATGAATTCGTAGGGTTTCTACTTTTCTATATTAATCAAAAACAGAGAATACATGTGTATATATACAGGGAAGTAGACTACCAGCTAAACTATAATACAGCCACAATAATAGGGATATACAACAAACAGTAAATAGCTCCTGTAATCACGTTTAGTAGTTATTTGCTCTCGCCAACACATAAAGCATCAACTTTTAAGTGCATTTTAGAGTTATAAGACCTCCTGTAAAAGTTAGAATGAAAACCTTAATGAGTTAAGGACTTAAATCTTGGATTTTGGCTTTAAACTGTGCTCACGACGTGAGATTTGAAGACCATGTTTTTTTGTTGATCTTTTTGAGGCTCACGACGTGACAGAAGGTTGTTCACGTCGTGAGATCAACTCGAATGCTTTTCCATGACTGAGTTGAGTCCAGACGAGCTGGAATCGGACCGAGTGGACTCTCACGGCGTGACCAAGAGCTGGTCACGACGTGAGGCTGGATGGTTGATTTTGGGATGTTAACTTTGACTTTGACCGCTGACTTTTGGCATGGATTGACTTTTGGTCAAATTTCTATTTTTAGAAGGTAGACTTAGGGTTTACCTTGTGTGGATTGTTAGGAGGTGTTTAGCACCCATCATTTAGCGGTGAGAGCCGGTAGCTGTGGTTGGCGCGACATTAAGTCGGGATTGTAGTCAAATTTATAAGTCATATGAGTCTCCTCACTGTACTTGTGAATTGAAGGCACCAATGTCGGCCCACTGGATTATGCTATATAGGAAGACCAGGTGGTGGCCCTTGGCAATTGTATGAAAGACCTGGATATGGCTCCCGACTAATTGTATGCAAGACCAAGGTCTAGACCTTGGCAATTATATGTAGAATGCTAATTGTCTTTGTGATACTTGCATGGAAGACTAGGAGGTGACTCTTGACATTTGACACTTGTTTGTAAGACCCGAGTTTTGGCCCCCGGTTTGGCAAGGAAAGACCATGGTACGACTCATGGCATAATGGCAATTGTAAGAGTATGGATGACACATAACAAACTTTATTTTATGTATGGTATGTGGAATTTTGGGGAACTCATTAAGCATTGTGTTTACGGTTTTATGTTTATGGTTTCAGGTACTTCCGGTTGTAAAGGGAAGGGCCCGGCGTGAAAGCACAGCATCCCCTCAGAGTTTTCCTCATTGGCTATTTATGATTTTTATTCTGATGTTTAAATGATATAATCTCTTTGATTGGTTTTGGAACAACTCATTGTATGGTTTTGACCTATTTAAATGAAAATTTTTGCTATGAATTTTTTGGACGTTACAACTTTAACTCATACGTCATTGGTGCACTTCCTTTTTCGAATCTTTCTTCAAGATCCAGACATGTTCCTTTTTCGTATTAGCTTACTTCACGTTGGCTCTAATATCTTTCTCCATAGCGATGGTCAACCACCCTTTATCATTGCATCGCTACGCATCCATAACATGTAGTTTTGTGATTTTTCTTCAGGTCTCTCGATCTTCCCATCAATGAAACCGATTTTGTTCTTCGAAAAGAAAAAGTTATTCATCTCTTATGCCCAATCATTGTAGTTGTTGTCAATTAATGTGTCATTTACATGCATATGTCCGGGGTAATTAGATGGGTGAATATAGTAGGGTGAGTTGGAACCAACGACATCTACTCCTTCATCTTTTGACATTTCTAAAGTATCTCGACCATGTCCGGTAGTGTTTATCGCATGTTCAAATAGTCTACTTAGATACCATAAAGAATTTGATATCATCAATTTAAGCAAATATCATAAAATAACTACTCATTTATAAAAACAAACTTTGTGAAACAATATTTTAGAAAAAAAATGTAACTTTTTTTTTCTCAAAAACAATTGCAAAATGTTATCATCAATTTTAGAAATGATATCATTCCATAAAAAATAATAATAATAATAATAATAATAAAATAATAGAAAAACTTTTTAATTTCATAAAGATTTTGTAGTGAAAATTTATAAAGCAATTTTGTATTTTTTTTTTAGAAAAAAATTGTTATTTATAAGTAAATATTCAAAGGTGGTAATTACGTACAATCACAACTCCCATTTTGGTGAGTTTCTACTATAGTATCTCTAAGAATTAGAGTAGTTTTCCTATTATAGTATCTCTCAAAGTGGTTTTTTATTTTAAGAAAAATCTATTTGGAAAAGTTTTTTGAATATAAGTTTTTTAAGGTCATTCCATTTATGTATACAATTAAAAGGGAAATGGCATATAGACCGCTCCAGTTTGGAGATGTCGGCTTAGGTAGTTTGACGTCGCTGGAGACCGCTTGGGTTTGAGTCAGTGTTGTATCAACGTGCCACAATTGTTCTCCAATTTGTTTCCTCCACCTGCTTTGCTTCCGCTTCGTTCTTTTCTCTTCTATTTGTGTTCTACATCCAAAAAAAAAAAAAAAAAGTGGAGACACAAAGGGTTTTCTCCCCCTTTTTCTACATTACATGTTTTTTTTACTCTTATATTTAATAACAATTTAACTTATATCCTAATTATATTTAAATATTAATCTTTTATTATTCTGTGATTAGCTTATCTATTTAATTGAATAAACAAAACAAAAATGAATATATTTTATAGAAATTTATGTCATTAAAAAGATTAATTTTTAAATTTTCAAAATGATATAGATATCAAAGTTTAAAAAATATTATCATCACATAATATTTTATGGTATTTTTTTTATTTAGATATAAGTATCAACGAATATTATTTAAAAAGATATACATTATATGAGGGGAATTTCAATGATAGTTAAAATACTTAAGGATAAATTACTGAACTCTTTACAGGAAAAAAAAACTTTTAAAAAAGTTAACCATTAAAGGAAGTTTTTTACGATATATATTTTGTTAAAAAAAAGTTATTGAAAAGCTTTTTTTTAGAACCGCTACAAACGCACTCACTATCATACTTTTAAATATATACATTTTGTTTTCAACAAGATTCATACTTTTAAATATATATATTTTGTTTTCAACAAGATTTAAACCCTCAACCTTTAGCTGAAAGTCACCTTTCCCTCAACTTCTAATATCGTTAGGCTACAGACTCTTTGATCCTAAAGGTATTGAAAGGCTAAAACGGACAAAGTAATAAGTTATTGTGATGTTAAGTGTTGTTTTGATAAAGTATTGTATGATAAATAATGTTTAATAATATTTGAGAAAATATCGTCAAGCTTGAGAAAATGAAATATATGACAGGGTAAGGGCAATGCATGTTTGGACTTTTTTGGAGAGCATGCAGTTCACTGTAAAGAACTCTCGGGGTTCTAATACAGATACGATATGGTTAGGGATGTTTTGTTTGACATATGTAAGCGTGTCGGGGTTTCCGCTAAGAAAGAGGCACCGGTTAATTTCTTGACTGACCCGACAGAAGGAAGGTCAACCTTCAGACCGGCTGACATTTTGATTTTTGGATGGGTCGGAGAGAAACACGCATGTATGGACCTTACAGGGGTATCCCCTCTCGTGGGCTTGAGGGCTGAGGGTTTCACGGCGGGACAGACTGCTTTAAAAGCAGCTACAGGCAAAGTCACAAAACATGAGAAATCATTCATGGAAAATCAACACGTGTTCATACCATTTGCATTTGATACGTTTGGTTTCCTCGCCCCGGATGCGGTAGAGCTTCTTAATAGAGTACAACGGATCATACATAGTAATGTTATATCCCCTAGATCTTCGAATGTAGTCTTTAAAAAATTAGCTTTACCATACAAAAAGGCGTAACGGCGCAGCTTGTTGCCCGTTTGTCATCTCACTCATTATACGATGATAATTAAATGAGCAATGAATGTATTGAATATTAATATTAAAAAAATTAATGAAAATAATAATAATAATACTAATAATGTCATAGGTGGGATCCAAAACATAGCTTTCTAGGAACTTTCTTACAATCTTCCAAGATGCAAACAAACATAAATCTCCTTCATGTTAGTATGCCCTTTCAATTCCACAACAAGACACAACAAAAATTCCCCACCAAAAGATAACAAATTTAAATCAAGATTTGAGGGATAAGTTTTGTAGTTGCATATTATGTTATTTCTTCAACACAAATACCATGAAAGTTCCTAGGGTTTCTTTTAAAGGTGTGATTCAGTCAGAATCTTCTTCTTCAGATTCTTGTGTGAAATCCTCTATGATATTTGGTCTTTCAGTTTGCTTGTTCATCGAGCGTGATTCATCAATTTCAATGCGTAATAACGGGTCACAAAACACTCTTTCTGCAATAACTATTTTAGGGCATGCTGGGTGAAAAAAAAAACATTATCAGAAATTGAAGGAAATAGCAATGCACTTTGATATATTAATAAATAAGAGATGTTAAATTACATACCTGCCATTGGACATTTAGATTGACCATGCTTTGACCTTATGTACTCCATGATAGCCTTCTTTTCATATATATGCTTGCAATCCATGCTGTAATAGCATATATATATAATCAACATGAGATCTTAAAAGTAACATCAATAGTAGCAATGCAAAAAGGGTCATTACAACTTACAAGAAGTTTTTATTAAAATACCCACATTACCCTCAAACAATCAACAGCTTATATGTACGATACCAATTATGAGCTAGATTATATGTTGACAGAGTTTTTATAATCCATTGCTAGAGTTTTGTAATATTTGATGAAATTTATCTGTAATACTTATCTTTATATGTATCAATGTCTATACAAACACATAATTCATTGTTGAAATAGGAAATTGTGTATATATAAAGTGATAAATGTGAATCAAATGATAGAGATCAAACCTGCGAACAGGTTCTGAGAGTTCAATAACAGGTTTGCCACTTAGGGGACAAGTTATATTTAAAAGGATGTTTTGCGTGCTAGTCATTACAATATCTTCCTGTTCTTCACCAGGCATGGGTTGTCCAGAATTATGCACATTCTGTATGAATAAAAGTGAACTTATATTCAAAAACACTGGAGTATATAGACTGAAGGAAAAACAAAAGACTATCTTGATGCATAACTTGCCACTTTAACAACAACATCTAGTACTAGTGAATCGAAGTTATAATGATATTAGAATAGGAAACTTACCCATATAGCTTCTCTGAACTGGCGTAACAATTGATTAACTTGTGGGACAGATGATGAACGACGTTTGGCATTTGCCATCTCTTTGTCTAACAAGCTCTTAAAATCAGTCAGCTGCAACTTAAAGTAATCAGCGAGAATTGTATTGGAGTTAAAAGAATCTCTAACCAAGAAATACGAGAATGAATGAAGAACAATGAATTAGGTAAAAAGAACTTGGAATGGATGGCGAGTCCAGACACCTGTTCAGTGGGGCGATAACTGTTTCCAACAGTATCAATTGCAGAAGAAAGATTAGCACATTCCTCATAAGTTTTCAGTAACTCCATTAACTCAGCTTCAAGCTCATTCACCTGTGGCAATGTCGATTTAAATGATTCAATCTCTATATGGATTTAGGTATTACTGGTGTACTGTGCAACTCTTTCGTATATCAAGAACGGTTGTTATGTAATTGGCATGGAGTGACAAATTGAAACCCTAGAAATAAAATCGATGTACCATTTGGGTTTTGTGTTGTCTCTCCAGACTAACCCCAATTTCCTTCATGGTAGTCAGAGCTTTTCGAATATCCTGAACAAAACAAGCAGTCAAACAGTCTTTTGATATGCAATTAAATGATGTTGATGAAAGCAAACGATGAAAGGAGCAAGGATTTACGGCGAGTAGCGATTGATTATCGTAGCAAAGGTTGGAAGCAGTGGATTTTATCCTCGATGCACCTGCATCGCTTCGAGGTGCTGAAGTCGATGCCATGACGACGGCGTTCTCTGACTTTTGCTTTACCGATCGAACCCGTTAAAGTACTCGGTAATGGCAGTCTCCGGCGGGAAAATAAAGAGGGAAAAAGAATTGTTAAATGCTGGAAATAGGCAGAGTCGTCACTATCTTTGAATTGATCCGGATCCAATCCGATTTTATTCACATATTTAGATCAAGATCCGATCTGGTTTCCACAACAACTCCGATTTGGATCCGATCCAGTTTTGAATGGATTTAAGCCCACGAATAAATCTGATTTTATGTGGATATATCCGAATCCAGTTTTTATCCTAATTAACAAACCCAATCTAAATATTTAATAAAAAATTATTTTTTTTCCACCTACACAATTCAATTAAACCTAATTTTTTACATAGATTAGAAACCCTACCCAATCAGCTTTTTTATTTAAAAAAAAAAAACATAAAAATATGTCAAATGTTGGTCTTATATGTAGAGAGATTTATTTTATGCATTTTTATGTATTTTATTTATTTTTCTAATAAATATTATTCTTCCTTTTTAATAAGATAAAGTCTTTATAAAGAAAAGAAATAGAAACAAAATTTAGAAAAAGGAAGAGATAAAGTGGTGGCCTATGTCGGGGTAACGAGCCGCTCACAAAGAATTCTTGTTTTTTTTTTCTAAAAACATTTTATGGTGATCGGCTCACAATTAGGAATAGTCTCAGGTAAATCACTAAATCCGATTTAGGCCTTAGTGTTTGATCTCGTGGATCGGATTGATCCAATCTAGATCCATCAAATCCGATTTTGGTCGAATCAAGTTTTTGGACAGGATCCTGTTTTTGTAAAACCCTAGTTGGCTAATTTAGATAAACCTAATTTCTCAATTGAATTCACATATTTAGAATTTATTTTTGTTTATAAAATAATACCTTAATAGTTCAAAAAAAACGAATATATATATATATATATATATATATATATATATATATATATAAAAGTTCAATAGAGAACCATAATTATTGGTTCTTCAAGGAACCAAATCTTTTTTTCAATTTCTAGAGCTTATTCTTTATCGAAAAAAAAATCTAAAAATATCTAAATTTATATATTAACATTGTGAATGTGAAAAATATTTTTCGGATTCACCGTGTGAATCCGGATTCACATTGTGAATTTTCAAAGATTCACATTGTGAGTTTGACGTAAAGAAAAAATTGAATTTGATATCACTGGAAAAAGGATAAAAAGTTATGAATTTCTGTATTTTTAGTTTTTTTTTTTTTGATAAAAAATAAATTCTAAAAGTTGAAAAAAAGATTGGTTCATTGGTTCCTTGGTTAATTATGGTTCTTTATTGAACCTCACCCTATATATATATATATATATATATATATATATATATATATATATATATATATATATATATATATATATATATAAACTAACCAAATGTTAATGACAATTTAAAAGAAAATAATCATTTTTTTTTACAAAAATAACCATCTATTTCATAATAGGGTCTTCTAGAGTATACGAAAATGGGTCAAGCCCATTAGTGAAGTTTGGTCCTAGAAATATGGGGCCTGCATCTTATATCAAAAGGTCATTCCAAACGCGAAAATATTGTATCCCAAACTTTGAAAATTTTATCTGTTTACAAAGATGAATTCAACAAACCAGACTAGTTTTACAACTTAATGGACTTAGATTTATGTGTATATGCGTAAATATTTAGCAAGAAATGCGTAGAACAAGTACTTTTTTGTAAATTTTTGTCTATGAGTCGTTGTTAATTTTTAATAGCCTACAACGTCTTAAGGTCGTTTGATAGTTGCTGACTAAGGGTGTGTTTGAAACCCGTCTGACTGGGTCGAGTCAGCGAACTGGGCTGACTCGGTCAGACAATCTTTCTTTGATTTGTGGCTTTCTCGGTAAGATAGTTGTCTCAAATTGCTTACCCGGTCAGATTAATACACATTGCTGACTGGAAATAAGACACTTCTACCCTTAAAAGTTCAGTGCACAGCAAATGAAAAGAGAAAGAGGGCAGTGAGAGTCAAACTAACGACCTTACATCCACATAGTCATATCTTTTCCACTATGCTAGAAGGTTATTTTTGTTATATTTGCTCAAATAGTTTATATAATGTGTAGTGGTTATTATTATTATTATTATTATTATTATTATTATTATTATTATTATTCTCTTTTTTATTGTTATTATATTGCATAAAAACAAATAGCGTATCATGGTAAAATGGTCATTTTGCATCAGTCAGCACGTTCAGTCAAATGTACAATCAAACAACATGATTTCTTACTCAGTCAGAATTTCTTACTCAGACAGACATTTCTCAGTCAGCACTTTCTCAGTCGTCAACTATCAAACGGAGCCTAAGTTAGTGCTGATTAAGTTCGAAATTTTTGATTGAGTCCACATTTGACTGAAATCATATTGTTTGATTATATCTCTAACTGACTGTGTTGAATGATAAAAAATGACCGTATTACCTTTATGAAATATAAATTATATAAATGGTCCCTATTTAATTTTAAATTTACAATGCCCTATGTAAATGTGTAAAAGAAAAATTATAAAAATGGTCTATGTACTAATAAATCTACAAATATGTATAAATTTTATAATAAATTGCAATATGACCAAAACATCACTAGCTTACTTAGAGGAAAAACCAAAAAAATACATTTGGACGACTTCTTCCTTTTAAACTATATATGTTAGTCACACCTGAATACGGGTGACAATGGTTTTTGTAACACCCAAAAATTCAAGCCAATTTAAAACTTTTTAAACAGCCCAAAAACCATTAGTTATTACAAACTTGTTTTCAAAATGTATAATATCAGAGTATCCCAGAAACGTAGTCATAAAAAGTGAGGAGTTGTACGATCACGCATTTGCCTTGCCACGATCCATTGATGTACCTGAAACAATAAACTGAAACTGTAAACCCGAAAGCTTAGTGAGTTACCCCCAAAATACCGATACACATACAGTCCACATAACCATGTCAGCAACATCATAACATAACAAACTAAACAGAACAGCACATAACGGGTCCACAGCCCTACAGACTGTAATACCCCCGAGCTCGCAGTACGAGTCTCACTCAGCCCGTAACTGGAATGCTCCTGAGCCCACAATACGAGTCTCCCTTAGCACGTAACTGGAATGCTCCCGAGCCCACAGTACGAGTCTCCCTTAGCCCGTAACTGGAATGCTCCCGAGCCCACAGTACGAGTCTCCCTTAGCCCGTAACAGGAATGCTCCCAGGGTTTGTTGGCTACCGCACGAAGTAGTACAACCTCAACCCATCCCATATAACAATCACATAACATAACATAACCACTGAGCATGCAATAATCATATAACATCACAGGTAGTCCTACAGATCTACCTAACTGGCATAACCACTAACATGCAACACTAACTCATACCCAACATCTAACACTGCTAGGATAACATATCCAATGGGCCGGCCTTGGTTCCTTAGACCCCTTAGTATAGTGAGGATAACTCACCTGCCATTGCTGAAGTCCCGCAGATAAAACTCCAGCTGCTGGTTGACAGGTTCCCGAACTGTCAACATCAAACAATACCCAATTAACAATTAGGTTCCAAGCCCAAAGCCCAACATATGTCCTAATTTTCCAAATTGGGCCCAGACCTCTACATGATCTTTCTTTAAGGCCCATTCGATTATTCCAATCCAATTCCTATGGCCCATTATCACAGTCATAAAGGCTCAATTATGGCCCATCTATGGCCCAATTTTCCAAATTGGGCCTAAGTCCTCACATGGGCCTTATCCTAAAGCCCATCTAATTACTTTGGTCCATTAATTTGTTCTTGGATGGCCCATCAATAGTCCAATCGCCAAAGCCCAATAGGAAGGCCAAATTCAAGGCCCGAGTGAGATTAGGGCTTTCACATGAAATGCTGATTAGGGTTAAGCGTTTATTACTTAACCCCTTAAAGACTTAATCCATTAATGACTTAATCCATTAAGTTCATTATTGCTAAGTTAGTTGCCAATGATTATTAATTATTATTTTAAGTTATTAAATAATCTCGTGTGTGTGCCGATTAATTCTCAAGAATTAGAGTTTTATGCTATTAGGGTTTTCCAAACCCTAATTAGGGTTTCCTACCCAATACTAGCTCATTAGTCAATTGGTTGAGCATCTAGGTCACTTTGGGCCTTATTGAGCCCAATAGGGTCTTATTATGTCCATTGGGGTCTCTTTGGGCCCACTAAGGTTTCTTTTGGCCCATTAGGGTTTAGTAGTCCCTTGTCCAAACATCCAAACGAGTCACAAAAAAAAACAAGGCACACCGCCACCCGACACGGCGGTCGGTGGCGGTAGGAGGCGGCAGCCACCACCTCACGGTGGTGGTTATGTATTCTCTATTATTATTCCGGGCACCTTTTACAATTTACAACTCAATCCCAAAAACACACACACATACTAATAATACACACACACACTAATAACACACACACAGCCACCCTTGTGGTGGCCGGTGGTGGCAGAAAAGCAATATCCGGCCGACAGTCACCATGGTTGGCTGCCATGGTGGCTCCAAACGTTTTCCGGCCACAACGCCCCGAAACAGATTCACCACCACCCACCTGGTGGTTCACGGTGACAACAACCACAGCTCTAACGGCGGCAGGTGACGTTGGCAGTAGCTTCACGGAGGAACAACCGCATGGCGGTGACAATAACGACGAATCCAACAGCCGCAATCGTGACCGGTCCTCCCACCACCACAACATCGATCTTCTTCTTCTTCAGCCACCATGGAACCGGCGACATTTGGTGGCAGCGTCGGTTTGGTGATTCCCAGCTTCACAACGGATCGGAGGGGCGGCGGTCCGGTGACTTCGCTGCAACAGAAGAACGGGGAGAAGGGGTTACGACCCCGACTTTGCGAACAGCGGCGGCAGTCGACGACTCTTCATCTTCTGCTTCGGTGGTCTAGCATCCATCGGAAAACGACCACAGCGGCTATGGTTCTCGGTTCTCCCGTGATTCCTCCGTCGGTCTTTGGTATTTCCGGTCATGGAGGATGTTGTCGGTGCCCTTAGTTGATCGGAACAATAGGGTGAGGAATGGGGTTGCGGCTGACGA